TTGCTAGGGACTTGCCCGGCACTTGCTCTCTACCTCTATTTGTTATCTTACTTCTATCATTGACAGTCCCTCTAGGTTGTGGGCTGCTTGCCTGTGTTCCTGAGAAGCATCTACGGTACCAGTCTATAGAGTGTGTTTTCTTTAGTGAATTACCGGTATGTTTACCGGTAATAAACTTGCACTGTTTTATGTATATGTTTGATTACATACAGCCTTGTGACAGTTTTCCTGCATGTCATAAGCATTTGAATATAAATTAAAATGTTAAAATCAAATCTGATATTGTTTTACCTTTTATTTGGTGTGTGGAAGGTGTGCGGAAGAGGGGGTAGTCTTATACGGCGAGTATATAACAAACTCTGTATTTTGAGTGGAAATGTTAGGGGGTCGTCTTATACGCCCAGTCGTCTTATACGCCAGCAAATACGGTAAACCTATTGTGGTTATCATTTCACAATATATGTTAGTCAAACCATCATGCTGCATACCCTAAATTTATACAGTGATGAATGTCAATTATTTCTCAACAAAACTGGGAAGCCTGGCTGGTGTTCCTCAGTGGTTTGAGCGCTGAACTATGAACCAGGAGACGGTTACATACCCCATCAGGGCACATGCCCAGGTTGTGGGCTCGATCCCCAGTAGGGGTCCTACAGGAGGAAGCCAATCAATGATTCTTTGTCATCATTGATGTTTCTATCTCTCCCTCTCCCTTCCACTCTGAAATAAATAAAAAATATTTTTTTAAAAACCTGGGGGGAAAAAACTTAAGACTTACTTTGTAAGTTTAACTAACTTGCATGTAAATCTATGTAAAAACACAAAATGTGGCTTCTTAAAGTTTATCTTTTTTTATTTTTCTATTTTGAGAAATGGAAGGAAAACATCTCTATGGATTACTTTTGAAATATATGTAACCAATCAAAAAGAAAGCAATTTCTCAACAGCAAGGCAGAATTGAACTTTCCTTCCTCCTCTCTCCTATAATCCCCTAATAGATTTGTCTGTCATATTTTCTATCTTGTATACTGCTTCTTTCTTTCCATGGTAAATAATTAAAATGTGGGAGGATTTTGGCTTTCTGGAACTAGGCCCTCCAAAAAAACAATATACTTATATTTAAAATTAAAGCAATATGTGGAAATAAGATGGTGACCAAGCAGATACTTTCAAGTTCTATAGTAATAAAATTTAACCATAAATTTCTCCAATAAGAATGAATATGTCACATATTTAAGCTTCTCTCTCTAGGGCTCACAGTACTAAGTGCCTAAACTTTTTTTTATAGAAGTACAGTTACTTCATATTCCATGACTATACTGTGTAGTGTACTGTAACTGGGCTTGGTAGACTCAATGTGTAGGATACATAAACGGTTACACAAAAATATGGCTACTAAATAGTAATTTCTCATGACTTATGTAACAATATTTAATGTATTCTCAATCATCATAGAAAAGATAGGAATTAATTCTACCCTCAAATTCAGGCAACAGAAATCCCAAATATGATTTCCATTGCTTATTACATATATGCCTATAGGTATAATGCACACTCATTCACAGGGACTTTTCAAAATGTCATTAATTATAATATCATCCACATACAGAATTAGGTAAGGTAGATGTAAAAAAGTTGGTTTCATTATAGGAAAAAGGGAAGTCCAAAAAGGGACATAATACACTAAGACATTTCTGCTGCATTACTGACATTACTGTTTTGTGGGGAATGTAGATAATAATGCGATCATGCCCTAAATTATTATGTTCTACACTAGCAAAAACGGAAACTGAACTAAAGCAGTTTTAAGATAGAAAGGGCTGCAAAAAGTAAGAAAGAAGACAGACAGGCTAATCAGGGAAGGAAAGTGAAGAAAAGAAAGAAATGAGAGAAAAGGAAGGTGGAAAGGAAGAGGGGAATAGGGAGGGGAGAGAGAGAACACTAGCAAGAGGGAACCCAACTACAGTATATTACTGTTAATGAATGATTAGACTTCATATGACACAGACTCTGTGGGTTATCACACCTTTGATTTTCATATCTGTAAACAAATCTCATAAATGTATATAAATTATGAGCTATGACTATTATAAATATAGCCTTAAAATCAAACATAAACAAGAAAAAGTAGTCTAACAAAATGGAATAACACTAATTTATTTATCAGCAGTATAATGGTTGTTGCTAAGAAACAGTTTAATATTTGCTTTTTACTATTCTAAATTTTCTCATTTGCAGAGCATCAAGTAAATGCCAAAGGCTGCCCAATTTTTAAAAAGAAAAAATTCTGGGGGAAAAGAAAACTTTACTTTTTTTTTAGTTTAACAAATTTCATGTAAACATTACTCAATAATATCTACTATTTTTATAGACTTTACAATTTACAAACTATCTTCTAATATATTATCTTAATTTTATCTACAATCTTGATATTTAACATGTTTATCTTTAATTTTTTTTAACTATTAGAAATTGTATTTTATGCTTCAAAAAGTAGGGCAATTAAAATTGAACTTGATTTTTTGTCAACAAAATAATGCTTTATAAATTGGCAGAGGTCATCATTCGTGACAAATTATTACATGAGTAACTCCAGTGACAAATTACTGAAAGTCTTAAAAATGTCAATACATTACAAGACAATGGTGGACATATGATTTCACATAAACAAAAAATAGCTAATATGACTGTACCCAGCACCCTCTTTATAATACCATTCTTTTATGGTTGAGCATTTCAAATGTTATAAAGAGGAGTTATTTTTAACTTGAGGGCAGCTATACTTAATTCTGTGGTGTTTTTAAACTACATATTTATAGGAGAGAGAGCCTTATAATGAGGGTGGAGAGTATTAAAAGCCACACTACACACACAATAGGCCATCATGCATTTTAACCCATTATTAAACTTACCCCTCTTTTGAGACTTCTGAAAGAAGGAATTCTGGGCTTCCCTGTTTTTATTTCATTCATACAATAATGCACGGGCTCAATGGAGAATGTGAGAAACTGGGACCCATTAGGAGTACTGGATGTGAATAAACTAGTAGGGGTTAAGGGTGGGGACTGTGGCTAATATGGAAATAAAGAAAGGAATCAATAAGCCAAATGTGCATAGTTTTTTTCTAAATGAAAATTCTATTTTTGGCAACATACTTTTTACAAAATATATCTCAAATAAAGCTTTCTATAAAAATATTATAAGAAAGTTAACATAGTTTTGCCAAAACTATCATTTTAAAAAGTCAAATTTACTTTTAAAAATGTACCATTTCATTTTATCATTTTTTTACAAACTGACAGATTAGAAATATAGAGTACGCAAATTATAATGTTAGAGCAATGTGATCTAGATTTTTAAAACTGTCTTCTGATTTCTAGAATATTAGCACTACCTTTATTAACCTGTAGCTGTCAGCAATAAAGGCAGCAGCGACAGTAAAAGCTATCTATAATAGGTAATGTCATTTAAAAATATATTAAAATGTTAAAACTGTAACTATTATCACAAATAGGCAAAAAAATTTCATTACACTTGTGGCTTTCTTTTCAGACTATTTCTATTTCATCCTTATTTTTCTTTTAATTTCAGTATTCCTTATTTATCTAAGCTCTCTTAGCTACTCTGATCTGACAAAGTCACTCTTAACTTCTTGACTGGATAATATTATTAAAAGCATGAATAAAGCTTTAGCTAACTATAATGGTGATTTTAAATATACACACATATTATAATTTTATCTACATTCATGTCAAAATCAGAAAAATGTATTAAAATAATGATGTATGCTTTAATAAATACAGACATAGATTAAAAGTACATTATCTATTTTCCTGATATAATGCTATTATAATCACTAAATTGTTAAGAAAGACTAAGCTCTCCTCTATTCCATTTGCTCACCTGCTGAGCTAGATTTATCTATCTAAAATAAACAACATATCAAAAGACAGGTTCCAACAAGAAGAGTGAGATTTTCTTAGTAAACTATAGATTTTTTTAAACTTCAAATAACCACAAACGTTGAGCCCTTCCCATTAAATATTCACATGGATGATTAAAAAAAACATTATTAGAAGTCCTAATTTGGTATTTATCATTACTGTGGTCAATCATTCATTCCAATTGAGAACTGCAATTTTAGTGTTTATATAATTAGATCATAATGTTTCCTTAAAAATTTTGATTGAAACTATACACAAACGAAATTTCAAAAGCATATAATTAAGAGACATGTAACAAATTATTTTATTCATTATTAAGTGGTGGTCAAATGTTAAATCTAAAAATAATTTTTACTATGGAAGAATAAAACTATGTTTCTAATAAGTGAAAAATAATTGAATCATTCAACATATTTATTTTCTATTAATATTAAACCATTACCCACTCGATACCTACATTCCTGTAAGTGACACACTAAAACAAAACTATTAGCAGAGAGAAACGTTATGACTTTACCTTTGGCTTCTTTCCAAAGAGCCACAACTTGCCCTTGGCCTTTCCTACTGTGGTTTTGGCATCCACCTTCCCACTTTCCTGTTTGGATGCGCTGATAGTCCCATCAGAAATGGTTCTATAGATATGCTGACTGTAATCTTCAAATGGAAAGTCTCCTGGAGGTTCAAACCCAGACTTGAAGGAGTCTACCACCATTTGAGAGTCCTATACACAAGAAACGTGTTTTAAAAACCATTCCATTTGTTCATAATACCACATTAGCTTTCAAAACTTTAATCCATTAAAGAAAAAAGAAATAAAAAATTTAAAGAAATAATTCTACAGTAAGCATCTAAGGGTTAAAGTAAATAATTTCTTCCTGTGACTTTGCAATAAGCCCTATTTTAATCCCAACAGAAAACAATGCTAATTTACAAACAAATTACCACTTTCTTAATTTGTAATATTCATGAGTGTTCTCATTCCATAGCTTTACCCTACTGAAATTCATCTGAGGACTAGTTAGCTGATAAGAAAGGTCTAACTGAAAGAAAGGAATATAGAAAAGGTTATTCCCAAGTAGAATTACAAGAAGTTTCAAAGGAAGAAGGCCTTTTGCTTTGAGATGTCTATGAAGAAGTTGACCTTTGGAACAGATAAAAGGGCATCTAATCATAAAAGAAAGTAAGAGACAAGTAGAAAAGTTTTCATTCATCCAATGGGGAAAGGATAAATAAAATACATTAAATACATACTCAGGAATGTCAATAGAGCAACGGAAAAAGATCTCACAAACAGTACTGAGTGCAAAAAGCAACTTTGAAAATATAAAGTTCAGTACCATTTAACTAAAATTTTAAAACTCGCATAAGTATTACATTGTAATTTTGGACATACATACTCTATCCAAGTATTCTAATGACATCTTAAACTCATTTTTTCAAATAAAATACTTTAATCCTATAAACTCCTACCCACCCTAACCACCTCTTCTTTTATTCCCTACTAGAGGCCCGGTGCACAAATTCGTGCACGGATGGGGGGCGGGGGTGTCCAGCCAGCCTGTTCCGATCGAGGCTGATCAGGCCAGGCTGGTTGGGGAGAGGGACTGTGGCTGGGGAGAGGGGCCACAGGTGGTTGGAAGGCCAGCCCCACCCCCGATTGGGGTTATGGGGGCGGATGGGGGGCATGGCTGGCCAGGGGGAGGAGCCACGGGCAGTTGGCAAGGCCCACCCCCTGGTCAAACTCCCCGACCAACTCCCAGTTGAGGGTACAATTTGCATATTAGCCTTTTATTATATAGGATTACTGTTAATAGTACATTTTGCCTGTCATGTAGCCAAAAGTCATCCTTAACTGATACCTTAATTTTGTCACTAATGCCACCACCACCAATCATTTGCTAAAGGGTAAGAAGAGTGATAGAGGAGGGACCTCGCTATATTTGTAACTTGGATCCAGTCATGCCAATATACAAATGTACCTCTGAGTTCCCAATTAAAAAACCCCAAAATCTTCTAGATCTCGGTGAGCATCTCCTACTCTAACCTGTAACTAAACCAGTGGTTGGCAAACCGCGACTCGCGAGCCACATGCGGCTCTTTGGCCCCTTGAGTGTGGCTCTTCCACAAAATACCACGTGCAGGCACACACATACAGTGTGAAGTTGACTTAAAACTTTAAGTAAAGCTTATTAAGTTAATTTTAGGGAACGTTGTGGAGTGAAAGAAGATGTAGTGTCAAGGATTGAGAAAGGTATGTTGAGATGGCTAGGACCTATAGAGAGGATGAACGAAAGGAGATAGACAAAACAAGTATACAAGACAAGTGTGGATGGGAGAGTTGGAAGGGGTCGACCTCAGCGAACGTACCTCAATCAGATTGAGGCCATTTTTAGCAAAGGCCAGCTTAGGAGGACCCTAATTAAGTTAATAACAATGTACCTACCTATATAGTTTAAGTTTAAAAAATTTGGCTCTCAAAAGAAATTTCAATCGTTTTACTGTTGATATTTGGCTCTGTTGACTAATGAGTTTGCCGACCACTGAACTAAACTAATAGGTTAATATAGTATTATAATATGGTCACAGCTTAATTACATTCTTGCAGTATAACTGAAAAATTAGTGGGGGCAGGCGAGGGAAGGGTTAGGATTCTCTTTGAAACAATTTGAATTTTAGTATTTATAATGGTCCTTGGAGTCCAAAGGAGTCCAATCTATTGCCAGACTTTCTTCTACAGAATATAATTTAGAATCAACTACTACCAATTTCTTCACCCCTTTTCCAATTCATTTTACTAACTTAAACCACACACCTAAACCAAATACATAATTCAAATATAATTATATAGCACTTACTCTTCTTTCATCAACTGATTTTGCTGCAAGAACCATTCCTTCCAAACATTTTGAAATGATAGGAATAACTTTGCGTTCTGAGTCTGCAAATCCTCTGTAACACTCACTGAGTTTAATAGTCCTTCGTTCATCCATTTCCTGGAGTTGCTAATAATCAGAAATAAAAAAAGAAAAACATCTTTTTCTTCATTCTGAAGCAACCCACCCTCCTCAAAAAAAAAAAACTGAAGTTCTACCTTAATAGTTATACTGTTTTTAATGCCTTTTAACAAGTGCTATCAACTTATAATACTTAAAACTTGAGGCCTGTTAAATAGCAAAAGAAATAAAAACCAGGTAACACTGGTTTTCAAACCATCTAAAGCAGTGGTTACCAACCTTTTGGACCTCACGGACCACCAGTGGTCCACAGACCACAAGTTGGTGACTGCTGGTCTAAAGATATCCCTACAGCCTACCCACCTTTCTCATACTTGATTCATACTGCCTCCACCTTTCTTTCCTATAGATCAGCAGTTCTCAACCTGTGGGTTGCGACCCCTTTGGGGGTCAAATGACCCTTTCACAGGGGTCACCTAAGACCATCGGAAAACACATATATAATTACATATTGTTTTTGTGATTAATCACTATGCTTTAATTATGTTCAATTTGTAACAATGAAACTGGGGATCACCACAACATGAGGAACTGTATTAAAGGGTCGCGGCATTAGGAAGGTTGAGAACCACTGCTTTAGATGCTGTTAATACTTCAGGAAAAGTTTTATTTGAAGACAGAATTTTGATGCTTCTTTTTTCCTTTTTAAGCAATTAGCCTATGACATACAGAAGTCTGAGACTTCTAACCCTTAGGTTAGTTCAGAATACGTTGGTAAGATCTGGCTGGACCAAGGATTTACAGTTGACTGTATACCAATAGGTACGCAGATCTATCACAGTCTACAGCTGAGAGTATTGTCACTCTGAGGGTTGGGGGCACAAGAGGGAAAACAGACAGCCACAGGTACATATAAGGGATTCTCACAATTCAAAAATTCATTGGCACATGCCACTAAGAATTATGCTGGTACATATGAAGCCAAACAACTTAAGAGACATTTTTTTTGGCACTTCCTATTTGCCAATATTGACCTTTCTTTCTCCTAGGAAACAGCTACACTGATCAAATCCCAAAACTCCAATAGCCTTCATATAATTATGTGCTAAAGCCTGGGAATTTATTTTGAGACCTGCAATTTCACACACACAAAAAAACTGTTCCTGCTGTCACAAAATGGCTAGACTGCTCCATAGCAAGGTCTAAACAAAAGGACCACGTCCCAAAATACAAATAGTAGGTGGTCTCCACGTTAAGGTCTCCTAAGAGTATAAAGGCTTGGCTAATAAGCCTAGAAAAGCACCACAGAGTGAGGAGTGGCAGGACAGATACCCGAGATTAAATGACTGGAATCTGATACCCACTCTAGTCCACCTCCTCTCACGATGCTTCACATGTACCTCTAACTTGCCTTACAAAGAAAAAAGTACATTTGAACTGACATTCTTCCCACATACGCTCTGCTCTCCTAGATCCAACTTCTTTCAACACTTTCACTAAATTCCTTTTCTCTAATTTCTCTTCTTTCTAGAATAGATAGTAACAATTTAACCTTCATGGAAATTCTGTGGTCTTTACCTGAGGCTGTTTGGCAACTGCCATCATCAAGTGATGATGGATGGGATTTGTAGGCAAGTTCATGCCTAAATAACATTTATGATCTGGCAGGTAGGAAGACAAGCAGGCAAAAATCAGGCTAGCAAACACATTTTATAAGACTTATTTCTGACACCTGGACTAATGCCAATGATTCTGATAGAGTGTCACAAAGCTACATCCCAATTCTAGGTGAGCAGATTACAATATACAATTCCAATGAATTCCCCCTATGTCATAATGCTTAATAATATAGCATTCAAATTTATTTAGAAAGTGCCATTGTTTTAGTGGACTGTTTATTAGACTAATAATAAATCTATAGGAAAACTTATCATTCAAAGTTAGGATATATTTAGTTTTCAAAACCATAATAATTTCTTACTACCAATCTTGATGACTAATGAATCTAGAAAAACTCTGACTGGTGCCTGAAATTCAAGTTTTACATTTAAAGAGTGACTATTCCAATGCTAAAACTAGATTAATTTCATATACTTAAAGTTTACCTTGTAAATCTGAGGAATCACTACGTAAAAATGTTTGTGTTGTTCTCCATTAAAGTTTTGTAACTGTGCAGCGTATTCATTTTTATTTTCATCAGCCATATGCGTCCGCAGATTCAACTGCTGTTTGGCCTAGAAGCAAATTGGTCCAAATCATTATCAACAAGAACAAAATCAATGCCACCTTGACAATGCCAATGATTCTGGTACAGCGTCAAAAGCCACATCCAATTCTAGGTGAGCACATTACAATATACAATTCCAATGAACTAAAGAGCTAACACAGTTTTGTAAAAGTTATACTAAAACTAGATTTTCTCTACTGATATCATTTAAAATTTAAGGAGATGTTTGCAGATCTTATAGCCAGAACAGTCTCCCTATGGTAATATTCCCTTTCTCCTCGTGCAGTGGTTCTCAACCTTCCGGCCCTTTAAATACAGTTCCTCATGTTGTGACCCAACCATAAAATTATTTTTGTTGCTACTTCCTAACTGTAATGTTGCTACTGTTATGAATCGTAATGTAAATATCTGATATGCAGGGATGGTCTTAGGCGACTCCTGTGAAAGGGTCGTTCGACCGCCAAAGGGGTCGCGACCCACAGGTTGAGAACCGCTGTCTAGCGCAAGAGTACTCCCCCTGGCAACAATCCAATCAAAGTTTCCCCTTACCAAATTGAGACTGTTAACATTTTTTAAATAAATATTTGAAAACATTATGGCCTGAAACAGTAAGCTTTTAATCAGAGGAGAAAAGCAGCATCAGGAATATTTTAAAAGTTAAAAAGTTAGTAGTAAAACATTTCTTTAAATGTGTTACGCTTACAACCAACTCAGAATCACAATAAAACCAAAATGATAAGAAGATGATTTTGGATAAAGTAATTGTCAACAATGATTTTCATCTCTATATGTAACTGCAGGCACTTTAAGAAATGCTTATTTAGAAAATAGTTCTATTCATTTTCAGCTCTTGTAGAAATGTTTTTCCAATGGGTCATTTTAGTATCATTTACAGTGGTGAGAATGTTAGACTACAAACTTAACACAAATCATTCATTTCAGATATATTAGAAGGGAATCTAAACAAACTTCTCAACTGTTGTAAATAGATTAAAAACAAAACAAAATAAAATTTTTCAGTGTTCCAAAGACTAAATCATATTATATGACAGTGTTTTGAAAACTGTAAAGCACATTGTAACTACATTCCATTATTCTAATTCCAGTCTCTACAAACGTAGACCCTGACCTCTAACACTAGGTCCACAAGTTAGTTCTTCTCAACTCAGAAACATACTGACCTATGTGGAAATATGTGGTAGCCAAGATCTCCGATAAGCCCACTTAAAAAGCCCATTTAATCCACAGTGGACTTAAAACTTACACTAAATAACTACTATGGAAACTAAACACCATGGTCCAAAGTACTTCTAGAGAAAAATACATTTGAGGTTCCAACCTGGGACCCTAAGTACACACATTTACTCATTCCTTTCTATTTTTCCCCTTCCCCAAATGACTCCCTATTCATAATGGTTGTCAGGGGAAACTCCTTTTGCTCCAAGTCACTGGTTGTGATCCCTAAAGCTGGGGGCAAAGGTTGCAGCGGAGTATTTAGGAATACAAGGCTGGAAGCTAAAATGATTGAAGCCTCCCCTGGTATATTCTGGACTTCACATTTATTGCCTCTCCTTTCTTTTTTTATTATTGCATTTATTTTTTATTTTAATTGTGGTAAAATATATATATATATACATATATATACACACATATATACATATATATACACATATATATACGTATATATATGTATATATATAACAAAACTTACCATCTTGCCCTAACCCAGTGGTCGGCAAACTGCAGCTCAGCAAACCGTGGCTCGCGAGCGCAGTTTGCCCACCACGGCCCTAACCGGTTTGGCTCAGTGGATAGAGTGTCAGCCTGTGGACTGAAGAGTCCCAGGTTCAATTCCGGTCAAGGGCATGTACCTTGATTGTGGGCACATCCCCAGTAGGGAGTGTGCAGGAGGCAGCTGATCGATGTTTCTAACTCTCTATCCCTCTCCTTTCCTCTCTGTAAAAAATCAATACAATATATTTTTAAAAAATTTACCATCTTAATTATTTTTAAGTGTATAGTTCAGAAGTTTATATATGTTCACACTGTTGTGCAACTAGCTTCCTTTTCTTTAGAAAGATCAGTAATTAGCTGCTCCCTCCCATTTCTTTTTTAAAACTTTTATCAGTAGTTGCTAAAAACTTTGTTCCCTTCCCTCCCTGTTCACTTACAACAGGAATGCTTTACTCTCTAGTTCCTAAAGCAAATCCTCAAAGTTTTCCTAATTCTCTAAAAAATTAAAGGAGTTGCAAACAAATGAGCAATAAAAAGGAAGCTGTAAACATTAAAATTCTACAAGTTAGGCAAACTAACTACTAGACATGTTATATCTAGATTTCAAGATGTTTGACCAGTCTTTGAAGATATCTCTGTAGACAAAATGAAGAAAAAAAAAGTAAGTTAAATGGGAGTCCAGCTAAAGAGTTTCCTTAATTTATCTAGTATACAAACTGTGCCTTGTACATAAATTATGTATTCAACTAGAGACCTGGTGCACGAAATTTGTGCACTTGGGGGAGGGGTCCCTCAGCCCAGCCTGCACCCTCTTGCAGTCCGGGAGCCCTTGGGGGATGTCCAACTGACAGCTTGGGCATACTCCCTGGGGAGCAGGCCTAAGCCATCAGTTGGACATCCTTAGTGCTGCTGTGGAGGCAGGAGAGGCTCCTGCGACCACCACTGCACTTGCCAATTGTGAGCTCAGCTCAGGACTTCTGGCTGAGCAGCACTCCCTGTGTGCGAGTGCACTGACCACCAGGGGGCAGCTCCTGCATTGATCATATGCCCCCTGGTGGTCAGTGCGCATCATAGCGACTGTTCGTTCCACTGTTCAGTCAATTTGCATATTAGCCTTTTATTATACAGGCAGTCCTTGGGTTACGTTGGACTCGACGTACATCGTTTCGTGGTTACATCGCCATCTCCCATTTACAGTATTTATAAAAAAAAAGAAATTCCGTCATTTTGATGTATGTACATATGTGTTTTATGTTTTTAACTATTTATTTACCACAAGTAACGGTCAGGAACTGTTATCTTTCATTTAAATTTTTTTTACTGTTTCACTTCATTATTGTTGTGTATGTACTCTATGTGAGTGATGTAGGTGCTTATGTAGGTAGGTTCCGACTTACGGCGAAAATCGTGTTACGTCGCGCTGTAGGAACGGATCTCAGACATAACCCAGGGACCTACTGTATAGGATAATCAGTATTTGATAATAAGTCAAGGAGTTCTTAAGAAGTCAGTGTCAACCAGCAAGGAGTCTCCCATGTAAATAGTGTTGTTTAAGCTGCACATTTGGCATGCTTTGTGTTTTTATTTGGAGTTTATTTTTCATTGCAGATTTGGCAATGTACAGTAAATTTTATAAATTTGCATCAAGTTTATGAATAAATCATTTAATAAATAAATAAATAAATAATGTTGTTTAAATTGTTGTGGTCCACATTTTTATCAAGTAATGATAACACACTATGTGTATGACGATGCTAAGAAAGAAAAAAGATGATCAAAATCAGGATCCCAAAATCTTAACAGCAGACAAATCTAATAATTGATTCAGATGTACATATGAATTTAAAATACCAACAGTACAGAGAGATACACATTCTCATACCACACCATATATGAAAAGACATGGGGATTTCATTTAACCATAAACTCAATGGGAGTCAATCCACACAATGTGGTGCCCAAAGAGTCAATCTACATGTAGGTTACAATTAACATAAATTTAGTGTTCGATTCCTGAATTCGATTACCTCTTTGTAATTCGATTACAAAGAGGTAATCGAATTCAGGAATGATCTGATCATACCTGGATTATTATATCCACCTTGAGCTAACATACTTAAGTGGGATATTTATGAATTCAAGAGTATCCAAAGGAAAATAGTCACACTGAAAGATAATTTGAAGCTATTTCACTTGTGGAATAGTTGAAAAAACACAATAGTTCTCTACCTATGGGTAGAGAATCTGCTACAAATATTTAGAAAACTATTATAAGAAAAAATAAATTTTTGATATTTTTTGGTACCTCAAGGAAACTAAAACTGAACGGTCAGACAAGTGGGGTCAATACAATGAAGTGTTCAAGTTGAAAAAAAATCAGTCTATCTGAAGACCATTATTTTCAATGACAGGGACTATCATTGGAGGTAGAAGTAATTAAAAATAGGGTAGACAAGATATAAACATTACAAGTTATATAAGAAGACCTTCAAAGTAACTATAACATAGAGTTTATATAATCTTAGGGTTTTTAATGTAAAGAAAATGAAAGGCAGAAAATAAATTATAGTCAGCCCTTGAACAACAAAGGTTTGAACTGCACAGGTCCACTTATACGTGAATTTTAAAAAATAAACACTGCAAATGTATTTTCTTCTAATGATTTTCTCTTCTTGATGATTTTCTTTTCTCTAGCTTACTTTATTATAAGAATACAATCTATAGCAGTGGTTGCCAACCAGTGGTCCATGGACCACTGGTCGTCTGTGTGGTCTGAAAGGTTGGCGACCCCTGATTTATAGTACATACAACATACCAAGTATGTATTAATCAACTACTTATGTTATTGGTAACAGCAGGCTATCAATAGTTAAATTCTGGGGGATTTGAATGTTATGTGTTTTTTTGACAATGAGTTGTTCAAGGATCAACTGTATTCTTCTCTTCCTTCTACTTTTTCTTGTTCTGATCCTGTAGGAAATTATGAAATCATAAGAAGAAAATATAGCAATGATGGGCCTTTGTGTATACAAAACTGCAAAGTAAGGTTCATCTATATTTGAAAATCCCAACATTTCAGCAGCATCACTTTTGTCAAATGTTCTAAGATAAAGAGCATATGGCAGGGGAGAAGGAAAAGCAGCAGCAGTTACAGGGGTGATCCAGCCAATTATTATGTTACAGGAACATCTGGCCCAGAATCAGTAAGTGACAAGACAAAGTTCCATTTTCCAACATTAATGAATGAGTGAATAAACAAACAAACAGCTAATATCACATCTGACAGCTTTATCCTATTTTCCCTTTGTAAAGTTGGGAAAGCACACTATGTAACCCCCATTTGAACACCCTATCAACACACCTTAGACAAGCGGTTCTCAACCTGTGGGTCGCGACCCCTTTGGAGGTCAAACAACCCTTTCACAGAGGTCACCTAAGACCATCGGAAAACACATATATATTTATATATTGTTTTTGTGATTAATCACTATGCTTTAATTATGTTCAATTTGTAACAATGAAAATATATCCTGAATATCAGATATTTACATTACGCATAAGAGTAGCAAAATTACACTTATGAAGTAGCAACGAAAATAATTTTATGGTTGGGGGTCAACACAACATGAGGAACTGTATTAAAGGGTCGTGGCATTAGGAAGATTGAGAACCACTGCATTAGACTAAAGCTTCCTGGGCTAAGGAAGAAAAAGAGGGATCACATGGACAGAAACAGTGGGATGGAGAGACCGCAGGCATTTCCTTGAGCAGGCATCATTCATCGTCAGCCTGGGAGCTGGGTGGAAACCTGGGTCCCTCGTTGTCTGCTGATCTCCACCAAACCATAGCAACCAGGACTTGCCCAGGAGAGATCTTCATCTCATCTCTGAACGACCCTATCACAGGGATCGCCTATGACTATCGGAAAACACATATACAATTACATATTGTTTTTGTGATTAATCACTATGCTTTAATTATGGTCAATTTGTCACAATGAAATCGGGGGTCACCACAACATGAACTATATTAAAGGGTCACGGCATTAGGAAGGTTGAGAACCGCTGCCTTACACCTTCTATCCTATTTTGGAATAGAACAGAAGCTCTTTCCCAGTAGCAGCTAGGATCTCCCTATGCATTTTGAATGCAGTTAAGACATTACAATAAATAAGTTAATACATATTAATTAATTTCTCAGACCAATATGTATAAAGTATGCAAATATTTGTATATTTTAGATTTAGATGCAGTATATCTCTTGGGGAAAGTCTAATACCAATGCCAATGCTACAACTCCTTTTGATATGTAAGTAAGTAATATTTTGATATCAAAGTCAATTTGGATTATTTCTTACCTTTTCAACATCTGCCTTCGTTGCATTAGTATCATTATCCAATCTTTCATAACTCTGTTGTGCCTTTTCTGCCTCTCTACATTCTCTTTCAAATTTCTTTTTACTCTGTGAAAATAATCAAAATATCAGTGAGAAATAAAATTACATTTATCCATTAAAAGAAAACTTTAAAATGCCATTGTGTATTGTGTAGAACTGCACAGTATAAGTAAATTTGTCTCAATTAGAAAAGAAATGTTACTATTATAATCAACCTAAGTGTCTTAAATATCAAACATTATAGGCATGACTGACTTAATATCTATCTCACCTCTTTTCAGTAAAAAAAAAAATCATGTATTTTATAATTTTTAATTATAAGCTCATCTTCAGCAGAACTTTTTGGTTTCGTGTTTTTTGCTTGTTTTGTATGTTTGTTTGATGACCTGGTTGGTTTTGGTGTTTGCTTGTTTTTACTTTTATTTTTTGGTGAGATCTCAACGTAGCTTAGATGTGGAAATGTCGCTCCCAAGTGGTTTTACGTAGTTTCTTTCAGGTGTCCCAGGAAATGCCATCAGCCCAGAACCAGGCTTTGTTAAAATTTTGTATCTAACTCCCTTGACTTTGTCAAAAAGCTATTCACAACTGCATTTCCTTTCCTGCACACTTTTTAAAATACTATAGTTAGTTTTCTTTTTAAAAATTTGCTCAGTTTCGATGTACTTTTTTGTTGTTCAATCCTTGTTTCCCCAGTTCATGAAATCTCTGCTTAGTTAATTGAAACACAATCAGAATTCTATCAATTTTATTTCCCTAACGAAATCTCTCCCAGTCTTTTGACCTGCTGAAGTTCGGACTGGTTACCAAAGCGGGCCTCCCGCACAGCGGTCACCTCAGGATTTCCCTTCACCATCATCCTGGAGATTCTTTCACCTCTTCCTGGATTTGAATCTCCTATTTCCAAGTTCCAAACCTTCTTCCCTTTCTTGATTCACTTCCGTATTTTGCTGAAACACATTCAGCAGTGGCATCCTAAAAGAAGGTTTGTGGGAGATAATTTTTTAAGTCCCTAAGGCAGAAAATTTCTTTAATATTACTTTTAATCGATAAAATTTGGCTGGGAATGAATTCTTGAGTAGGAAAAGGTCTTCCTGCAGAAATGTGAACAGTACTATTCCACATTACTTCCTGATCTTTTGCCTGAAATCTATTTTATTTTCCCTCTTTGGAGATGGGTGGGAATCTTTTCTCTCTCATACCTGTTCTGAAATATCCTGAAGATACTGTCTTGCTATGAAGTGGATAATCCTTTCATCTAGAAATTCATGTCTGTCTTTGGTAGGTTATTTTTCATTATTTTTTTTTGTCCATTTTCTGGCTTTTCCCCCCTTTTTTAGTAAGGATATTCATTCGAAAATGAACCTATAGAATGAGTCCGTCCTCCTATTTTCTTTTTTTTTCGAGATAATTTTTTAAGTCCCTAAGGCAGAAAATTTCTTTAATATTACTTTTAATCGATAAAATTTGGCTGGGAATGAATTCTTGAGTAGGAAAAGGTCTTCCTGCAGAAATGTGAACAGTACTATTCCACATTACTTCCTGATCTTTTGCCTGAAATCTATTTTATTTTCCCTCTTTGGAGATGGGTGGGAATCTTTTCTCTCTCATACCTGTTCTGAAATATCCTGAAGATACTGTCTTGCTATGAAGTGGATAATCCTTTCATCTAGAAATTCATGTCTGTCCTGGGGAAATTTTCTGGAATTATTATTGTCTTTCCATTTTCTGGCTTTTCCCCCCTTTTTTAGGATACTCATTATTTCGAAAATGAACCTATAGAATGAGTCCTCCTATTTTCTTATATTTTCGCTCATACTTTCAATTTATCATTTTGCTCTACTTTCTGGGAGATTTCTTTATTTTCATTGTTTCAAGTGATTTTTTCATTTTTGCTATAATAATGTTCTTTTATATTCTTTGTATGTTCCTTTTCAAATAGTATCTTTTTCCTATTTCATGGCTATAATATCTTTATTCCCATTGAGAATATTAATAGTTTTGGGTGTCTTGCTTATTTATTTTGCTTTTTAATTCCTATTTCCTTTCATCATCACTGTTTCAAAGTTGCTTTTTCTGGTCTTTGGTATTTACATTAGATGTTTTCTTTCAATGTCTGGGGAACCCTTGCCTATCTGCTCTGGCTTAAACTGCCAACTGAAAGCTCTACAGGTGGGGCCTGTGGATCGTGGTCTTCTCCTCAGAGTGATATGGTCAGGCAGTTTCCTGGGAGAAATCCTGGTATCCCTATCTTTCCCCTCACGCTGGTTAGATTCCCCAGATACGACTCTTTTAATCTCTTGCCTAGAAAAATATATGCCTTGCTACCTATATTCTGAGAATTGCTCAAAAGAAAGCAAAGGATGTTAATATTTTCTCTTTACCTAAACCCCTTATTAGAACAGTTTCTATGTCAATTTCTTGTCTTGGGGACTATGAAACTATACGAAAAGTGCAAGTTTGAATTCCAAACCTCCTCAGCACAAGGTCAAAAGGTTCCCATTTTTCACAGGATGCCTGTCTGCCCTCCTTTGACCTTCCGACAAAGACAATTTCTCTGATGTTTCCCTTGGCCAGTGGGCAGAGTTCCACCTTTCACTACAGACTTAGTCCTTCAAAGTTTCAACTATTATACAGGAGCTTCTGTTCCAACTCCCACAACATACAGAACTAAAATCTAATCTGCTCCTGTGTGAGAATTAAAACCCAAGTCCTTACCAAGGACTTACCCACATCCCAACACCTCTGCTCCCTTTTTTCAAATTTCACTGTATCACTTCATACACCTATTGCTCTGACTTTTAGTTTACCCTTAGTTTCTAGCAGTTATGAGTTTAAAATAAACTCTGCTAAGAGCTTTAAAAGCAATAAAAATATTTTAGCTATTATATCTAGGTATCTGTAGCCAAAGGCTTCAGAGTTAGCTGAGTTTACTACATACCTAGAACCAGACATACCTATACTTTACATCAAATAAATATGCTCTGAAATGTTTTATAAGATTCTTCAAATGTACTCACTGTTTTGATAGTATGTGCCATCAAATGGGACACTTTTAGTCAAAGCATATGAATAATATATAGAATGTCACTTTCCTGTGAAGATTAAGATTAAATTTCCACATTTAATTCTCTGAAACTTAATTCAGAGCTGTGTTTTCAAATTGAGTAGCTGTAGGCTACTAATTTTGTTGCAATTTGAGGCTACTGTATACAAAAGAATTTTTATATTAGGTGTCTTATTACTTATGGGAAAACACTAATTTCCTTGCAATAGCAAAAGAGTCACTAATACAATATTTAACATTTTCATTCCCTGAGAGGGAGTATCTTTACACAATATAGGAATACACTCCAGAAAAGATCCTCAATTCTTCATCCTATGTGTGGCAGACTAATAAACAACCACATTTCCTCCCCTATCCTTTGTTAGAAGAGCCCACCTCCCAATACATCAACTAAAAATAGCTGATACGTGCTTTACCAGCTTCCCTACAGCTGGGGGTATGGTCAAGTCATCTAATCCTGTCAAAGGCACCCATAAGGAAGTCTGCTGAGGGTTCTCTGGGAAAGTCTTCCTTCCCTGATAAAAAGGGACAGTTGGAAAAGATCTGCTCTCTTGTTCGTGTGTCTGCATGCAGTGAATAAAGATGTGGAGCTTGGCTGCCTAAGTCAACTGTTGACAGTAGGGACAGCCTCAGGAAAAAAGCCAACATGGTCAAGATGGCAAAGTGAACAGAAAGAAAGAAGGGGCAGACTTTGTGGCATCACTGAGTCACTGACAACTCAGAAACTGCTCCATTTTTGAGTCCTCTTCTTACAAGCATCTAAAATCTGTTACTTGGAACTGCCTAAGCTGACAGACATGGCATCTCCAATGTTTCTATCTTAATCTCATCATTCCTTGAAAATCTTCACATGCTCTTATGCTCTCCGATTTAAATGCCAGTGCTGCGGGGGTGGGGGTGGGGTCAATTTTCAATTCTCTGTATCTAAGTCAAACTGTCCCAGTTCTTTAAATCTCTTCCATTATTTCAAACATGTTAGGAATTTTACAATTGCATTTTCTTGATCAAGCAAGAAGGCGTGGAATTAGGAATTGGGATCCTGCATATGTTTCTACGTAATATACAGAAATTACAGTTGTCTGCCTCCCTCACTAGACTGCAGGCTCCACGAAAACAAGAACCATGTCACATATATTCACTTTTGTACCCCCAATACATGTCAAGGATGCCTTCAATAAACATGAATTGAGCTGAACTCACCTTTATTTCATAGCATTGTTAATGCCTTAAAAAAATCTCTCCTACAAAAAAAAAAATCTCTCCTACATTTTTTGATGCTTCTTTCTTATTACCCCATAAATTTTGCTTAATAACTGCCAATTATTCTAAAGGCAAGTCAGTATATATTAAGAATAATTTGAGCCAACACTAGTTTTTAAAGGGACCAATGACTCATAAGTGTAGGAGTCTATTTTTTGTGCAGATGAAAACACAAACACTCACACTCATCGGGTGGAAGATACCAAAGATGTTAGTTAAGGCAATTTAAAATTTAATAAATGTAAACACTCCCTAAAAGTCTTGCTGAGACCAATTAAAGAGAAGATCCAAACAAAAATAAAGACAGACTATTAATATACCCAAGAATTCTCAATTAGCACTGATTACATCAATGACAGTGACAAAGTAGAAATTTTTTGAAATTTAAAACTTTTAAGACAAAAATTTTTTAAAGGAAAAAGGCTAAAAATAGTGCATAAATGCATGAGTTATTTTTAACCTCAAACTTAAAAGTCCTTTTTCCAACAACCACAAACTAAATTGCTTAATTTAACATGAAAAACTCTCAGGCATAATTT